CCTTTTCCCTTTTGCTTGCACTTTTTTGTCCGAAGATTGATCCTTTCCGGCTGCCTTTTTTGGCTTCGTTGCCACTTTAGCTGGAACAGGTTTAGCCGACAATCTCGCAGACCTCCTCTTGGTCTCCTCCTTCCGCCCCTTCTGCCGAGCTGACCTTCCTCTTGGGCATCTTGGCGGCGCGCGGGGCGCTTGCGGAGGCTGCGGGGCGAGGCGCACGGGAGCCTCGCGGAGAGACGCAGCTCCACCGCTGCCGTTCCTCCCGCCGGCAGGGCTGCTGGAACCCACGCATCATTTTCTCTTTACAGACACATTTCTTTAAGTGAAGATATCATTCTTTTTTTTTTTTTTTTTTCTCCTCTCTCCTTGGTTTGTTTTTGTTTTGAGACAGGGTCTCACGATATAGTTCAGGCTGGTCTTGACCTTACTGTGTGGTCCAGACTGGCCTCAAGCTCATGGTGTTCTCTTGCCTCTGCCTCCTGATACTTGGGGTTTTTTTGTTAACCAGGAATCTTTTCTTTTCTTTTCTTTTCTTTTCTTTTCTTTTCTTTTCTTTTCTTTTCTTTTCTTTTGTATTTTAGTACAGGGACTCCAGGGTCTTACTGCATAGATCTAACTCCTAGTAATTCTCCTGTTCTCAGCCTCCCAAGTGCTGGGATTACAGGTGTGTGCCACCACGCCCAGTCTCAATCTCTGTGCACCTGTGGGCGGGGCTGGCACGGCACCCCAGGAATCGAACTCCAGCTGCTGTGCTCTATCTAAGCAGGTGCTTTAGTCTCCTGAGCTATCTGTACGGCCCAGTAACCAGGAATCTAATTCAGGAGGACTGCAAGTTTGAGCCCAATCCGGACAGTTCAGTGACTTAGGCTCTTGTGTAAAGTATGAATTAAAGTCAAAAGGGCTGAGGCAGAAGCTCAGTGCAATGGCCCTGGATTCAGTCCCACTACTGCAAACACCACCAACCAAGTGCAGCAAGGCAGGACAATGGTTGGCAGCTGGGCACTAGGGGTATAGCTTAGTGGAGAGCTCCTGACTAACAGGGCCCACCCCACCCCCGTCTCAGCAGGCCCTGGGGGTGGGGCAGGCACAGCAGGCATGGGACCAATCCTGGCCCCTGTGCCTGCTTGCAAGCACTGTAATCTGCTGAGCTTTTTGGCCGGCCCCGCAACTATTTCCGAAGAACAGAAAAATGGAAAGAATTTTATATGAACATCCATTTGCCTAATGAAATCTTGTTACTTGTATATTTGAAGCTCACACACATTCAGAGGATTCTTTGTGGACACGCTGAGGAGTAGGTGCCATCTGAGCCCCTGTGGTCAGGGCATCCCGGCTTTTAGGTGGGTGGGGTCACCTTGGCTCAGGTTGGGTTGTTGTTAGCAGGCTAGAGCTCACCTGGCTTTAGCATTACTTATGAAACACCCTGTTTGTGGCACCTGAGAGGCTCACACTGAGTTATTTCAGTGTGTACTCCACCACTAAGCTGCACTTCCAGTCCATGTGTTGTTCTTGTTGCTGCTTTTAATGTATGTGGTACAGGGTCTCACTACACAGCTCAGACTCATAGTGATCCTCCTGTTTTCAGCCTCTCCAGTGTGAGGATTACAGGCGTATGCCACCACGCCCAGTCTCAGTGGCCAGCTCAGCATGCCCAGGGGCAGGGCTGGTGGGGCATGTGGTGCTGGGGATTGAACCCCAGTCCTTGTGCTTGCCTAAGTAGGTGCTTAGTCTGCTGAGATATCTCACTGGCCCTCCTGTGTATTATTTTTAAGCTTGTGAAGGTGGTGGTCTGCATAGATTCTGTTACATGATTTTCGAAGCCAGAGGACTTTGCTCAGCTTCTAGTTGTCTATTTTTCCTCCTGCCATCATATCGCCTTCCCACTCTATAGGGCCACCAGAGGCACCTTCCTGTGAAGCACAGCCTTTCTGCCCATGTCTGTCTCTCATTCCTTCTTCCAAGGGGTCCTGACTGATCCATGTTTACCCTCTTCTTACCTTAATATCTTCTCCTCTACTTGCCCTTTGTTGTGCATATTTAAATATAACTGAGTCAGGGCTGGAGGCTCAGCAGTCTAAGCACCTGCCTGGCAAGTACAAGGACCTGAGTTCTATCCCCAGTACCATGTGCCTTTCCGGCCCTGGAGCCCCAGGTGTGGTGGTGCATGCCTGTAATCCCAGTGCTGGGGAAGCTGAGACAGGAGGATCACTATGAGTCTGAGCTGCATAGTGAGACTTCGTAACAGATGTCTGCCTGCCTGCCTCTCTGCCTGTGTCTGTCTGTCTGTCTGTCTGTCTGTCTCTCTCTCTCTCTCTCTCTCTCTCTCTCTCTCTCTCTCTCTCTCTCTCGATTCTTGGCAGCCTTTGCCAGATTTCGTATGGACTCAAGGTGTTTGTTTCTTTACTTGAAGTACCGCCCTTGGCTCCCACAGTGGCTCTGCTGTCCCTGCCTCGCTCACCTGTGTTTACCAGGGTCTCCAGGGCCCTCTTGCTTCTTCCTCAGCCTTTCTGACACCTTGTGCTGCTGGCTGCTGACACTTGCTTTCCTTTGGGGCCCTGGTGCTTGGCTGCAGTTTTGGGCCGATTCTGGCTTTTCATGTTCCCTGAGCTTTCATCTTTTATTTTCATCAGTACCTGCTTGCAGTACGTAATTGTGTTCCTTGTGGGGAGTTGGTATTACAGAAAGGTACATAGAAACACAGTGTGCATGCTGAGATGGAGGTGCGCTGTCACTCACAGGTAGGTGCAGGAGTGGAGCATCCCATAGCCCCTGCTGTGTGTCTTTTGGGTCCGTACCCTCTGCCCTGAAGCTCAGCCTTGATGCACTCCTGATAGTCTGCTTCTTGTCTTCAGGAATTAGTCTGCTTAACCTGGGTGCCAGTTATCTCTAGAGGCATTTCTTTCTCCACTGCCTGCAAGGCCTGTCCTCTCACTTCCTGCATGCCTCCCTCCTTGACTCTCAGGATTCACTGGCCAGCTAAGGCGCGGTGTTCCTTGCTGGCAGGAGTATAGGGCTCCGGGGTCTCTGCTTCGGACAGAAGTACTGTGATTTAATCACAGTGGCCAAACCCAGGTGGGAGAGCTGCGGAGTGGCCTGCGTGGACACATGCCCCCTGTGTCCTGCTGCCTGGCCCACCCACTTCCACTTGCGGTAGGCCTGACACACAGCAAGGCCCTAGCTGTTGTGCTTCTGCCCTCTTTTCAGGGCTGGCGTGGAAAGGAGGGCTGTTTGGTGCCCTGTCAGGGTGTTTAAAAGGTCCTCACTGGTCTCAGGTATCAGAAGTCAGAGGGCCTCAGGTTCTAGAACTCCGTGGAGTACTGTGAGCCAGCCATACACCTTTTGCATGGCTCATTCGTAGGTGGGTTTGGGTGCTGCTTTTGGAGTGTGTGGGGCACACACCCTTTCCCTCTTTTTATACAGTTGTGATGTGAATATAGTGGTTATTTGGATACAGTAGAACTAATACAAGGTTTGTATATCAGGAATGTATTAGCCATACTTCTTCAAAGTGATTAATAAACAAAGTGAACTTGTCATACTTATCTTACCAGAGTTATAGTAATAATGAGAAAGGGATTATTGGGCTGCTTTTTGTTAACATTATTAGTAAAAAGACCGATAAAAGGGAAGACCGATAAAAGGGATTAGATCTGTGTGTGCCACCAGCGGTGCAAGCTGCCTGGCGGGCTAGCCATGCACGTACCTCTGGCCGTTCGAGCCCAGTGGTGGCATGTTCGCAAGCAGCTCTTCTTACTCTTGGAAAATATCCAGAAAGGCCTGGTGATTTTGTGGGACTTGTGCTGTAGCTGCTCGGAGGATACCACAGAGGTGCACGCTTGGCTGCTGCGCCGGCTCCTGGAAAGCTGCGTGTGCAGGCAGTTGTTTCTGTCTGCCTGGGGCCATGGCAGCTATCAGTGCCCAGCATTCTGCAGTCACTGAGGTGGAGTTTTAAGCCATCTGGGCCTACTTTGGTTTTGTTTTTTAATACACAAAAGTAGCGTAGCAAGCTCCTAAGCCTTGGCAGGCACCCCCCCATTAATGGTTGTTTCTGATGGCGCATTGGCAGAGGTGTGATCCTGCTTCTCCTGGCTCTTCCTGTAGGCAGGAATGTTGAGGCCACAGGGCTCTTGGAGGCAGGGCTGTGACAGAGCAGAAGGGCGTGGGCCATCCCGCCAAACAGCTTTGGTTCTGGAGCCCTTAGAAGCAGCTTATCTTGTGCCTCCAGAGTAAGTTTCTTGCCAAACATTTCATCTCTGTTTGGGCTCAGATTCCTCCCTGCTCAGTGAATGGGAAGGCTGATCTCAGAGTATGGCACCTTCCATGTCAGGAGCCTGAGCCATGCTTGTCGGAGCCTGTGGCCAAGCACTGGCTACAAGTGGTGCTATTTTTGTTTGTAATATTTGTTAGGGTGATATACCAAAGGGGAGAATCACCCAACTCGCTTTGCATTTTTTCTGTAGCCCTGTTTTGGTGTTCCAACATTTTTCTTTCACTGCTTTCAGCTCTCTCCCTGTCTCTTGGAGGAGCCAGCGATGACGAAGGGCATGTATGAAGTTGCTGTCTCCCTCATTCAGATGTTTGATGACTTGGAGTTGAAAGAGAATGGGTAAGAGCATTCTGTGCTTCACTGTGGATGTGACTTGAGGCCCCTGCCCTTCACTGGAAACTTACCAGTACTTTTTGAAGTATGAAGCTGTAACTACAGATACCTTATCGATGGCCACTGTATGTATTTGAAAGCCAAACTAGTGTTTTACTGGAAATTTCTGCTTAAAGTAGTCTTGTGGAGTGCGATTTTAGGTTCAAAGCTAGGATCTGTAGCATAGAGGTGGAACACTTTCCCAGACACATAGTTGTCACATTGTGCCTTGAGAAACCTTCCCACACTAGTGGAAACCATCAGAGGCATGCTGTGCCTGTGTTTTTATTTGCTAGTGTGATGTGTTCCTCATGCTCAGCAGGCTTCTTTTGTAGTCCAGGCATTGGTTTTTTTAGCTGGTTCTTTGAAACCTAGGATATGTTTTCCCTTCAGAAGGACAGTTTTAGTTTGTAAGTGGTGTCTAGAGTGTAGAACTTTACAACTGTTATACTCTGTTATCGAAGCTTTGCCGTGCTAGTCTTACCATGGCTCCTAAGTAGCACTTACCTTTTAAGGACAACAAACAATGAACGTGCAGATTCCACCTCCTCCTGGCAGTTAGGACTAGTTTCGCTGGGTGGCTTCGGTCTCACGGGCCTGAACCACAGGCCCCAAGTGAGTGCTCAGTTATAAAATTTAGATTTTCTTTCTTGGGTCACTTTCATTCTTTGAAGAGTCTGTTGGAAAGTATTTGCAATTTTTATATAGCTAAAATTTTCTTTATCTTGCTCATTCTTAAAACTTGTTTAGGGGCTGGAGGGATAGCTCAGTTGTCTAAAGCGCCTGTTTGGGCAAGCTCAGTCAGGCACAGGGGACCGCAGTTCAGTCCCCAGCACTACATGCCGCATCAGACTCACCCTTAAGGCGGGATGAGCCAGCAAAAAAAAAAAAAAAAGAAGGAGAAGGAGAAGAATTGTTCTCAAGTTTAAAATAACGAAAACAAAATATTTTGAAGTGACTGATAGAATTAAAAGTATTTGCTGTATACAGCACGATGCTTTGAAGTGTGCTTGACATTGTAAAGTCACTTAATCTTGCTACTTACCATATACATTCACCTTGTCTTTGAAATTTTTTTAGATTTAGATTGAGCATCCAGTATATGAAATGCTTGGAGTAAAGGGTGTTTCAGATTTTGGAGTTTCTCAGCTTTTGAAATATTTGCATAGATTTCTGCCTGAGCATCCCTAATGTGAAAACTCCAAATCTGAAATGCTCCAAAATCCAAAATTTTGACCCTGAGAACAGAATTTTGGATTTTGGGGCATTTCAGGACTTCAGGGTAGGGATGCTCAACCTGTATCAAGCGGTGAGTTGCTATGTATGGCTTTCCTTATCTTCCTTTGTTCTGGTTTTGCTTAAATAACATCATTGAGCTAGGACTCCTGTGAGACAGCACAGCGCACCTGTTTTTATTGCTCTTTCTGTACGCTGATACTGTCCTGGAACCGTCTGCTTCTGTTGCTGTAGCGAAAGGTAACCTTTGGGCTAGTGGCTCTGGGTGAGCGTCCTTCAGCCGGACTGACTTCGGCCGGGTGCTCTGTCTTCCGCGCTCCAGCCTCGTGGCTGAGCGTGCCTGGGGACTCCTCCTCACTCGTCTTGCTCGAGGTCCAGGAGCTCTCTGGGTCTCAGCAGTGGCCTTTCCGAGGCTGCCTGGCAGCCTTCTGGTAGCGTTAGTGCCCGTGATGGTCTTGTCTGAGCCCACGGTTGTATTAGTGATGTTCCAATTTTACTTGCTTTGTGTTTGTCCTCAGATTATACTATACAGTATTTTCCTTCTCTGTCCAGGAATGTTGGAATACATTTCTAGTGCTCAGGAGGCCGAGGCAGGAGGATCACCATGAGTGCAAGGCCAGCCTGGGCTACATAGTGAGTTCAGGGTTGGCCTAGAGTCCATAGGGAGACCCTGTCTAAAAGAACCCAAAACCCCCCAAGCAAAATCCAAACCAAACTGCGAACTTGCCCTTATTACTCTGTCCTTTATTTTTTCTTCCTTTAAAAACTTTTTGTTAGTCCATGTTTGTAGCACATGATTACATTCCTTGTGAGGAACGAGTGTGTGTAGACAGCACATTTCAGTTCCTTCCTTTCCCTTTCTCTTCTGTGTACTTTTTTCTTTTTATTAGCATCACATTGAATTATTTGGTAAGTCTTTGTCAAGTTAATTATAATAAACACAACCAGTTAATAGGCCAAAAATACATAAAACGTGTACAACAGTTATGTTAAATCAAGGTACACTTTATTTTATTTTATTTTATTTCATCTTTTTGAGACAGGGTCTGAACTCTGCAGTTCCGACTGGCCTTGCCCTCACTTTGTAGCCCAGCTGGTCTCAGGCTGGCAACAACCCTTCCTCGCCTCTTGGGTAATAGGATTATAGGTGTGCCCACCATGCCCAGCTAAGGTCCACTTTTAAATATATTCACCATGATGGATAAAGCATCCTTTTTCTCTTTTCTGTTGTCTTGTTTTTCTCTTTATTTATTTGGGAGGTTTATTATATAAATATAAATAGTTACTTCTCTCGCGTGTGGGCCTAATTTACTTCACTTGTAAGTGTGGTCTCTGCTGCGTCCATTTCCCTTTGAAAGTCTCGCATTTATCTTTTTTTTGTGTGTGGTACCAGGGATTGAACTCAGGCCCTTGTGCTTGCCAGGCAAGCGCTTATTCTACTGAGCTCTCTCCCCAGCCCCTCACGTTTATCTTTTTAAAAATCATTTATTTCTTTATTTGGTACAGGGTCTTGCTACATAGCTTGCACTTGTTGTGATCCTCCTGCCTCAGCCTCGCCAGCACTGGGCTTACAGGTGTACACCACCACACTCCATTTTGGTGGCCTGCACAGCTCGCCTGGGGTTCTGGGGCTGGCGTGGCATGTGGTACTGGGGATCAAACCTGGGTCCTTGCTCTTGCCAGGAAGGCTCTTAGACCACTGAATTATCTCCCCAGCCCCTTATCTTTTTTTTATAGCTGAATAGTACTCCATTGTATAAAAATACATTTTTTTATTCATTCCTCAGTTGATGGATGTTAGGGTTGTTTTGAAGCGGTGAGATTATTTCCACATCAGGCCTCCGGGTGGAGCTGTAATGTTGGGTCTCCATAGCACCCCATTCAGGTTGGTCTATAAACCAGGCCTGTGCTTTTGGTCAGTGTAGCTGGGCCAGGTGTAGCTCAGAGGGAGGAGGCTGAGAGGCAAGGCAGGCACTGTGGCACCGGAGCCACCTGTGTGGCCATCGACCCCTTCGCAGTTACTGTTCCCAGGCACAGGCTGGGTTGTTGTTCTTCGGCTTTGCTGTGGCTGCCCTCCCCTCCCATTCCCCTTAGGTCCCCCCACTCCTGTTAGGTCCCCAGCCGAGGCCACCCCTCTGAACAGGCACTGTGCGTGGATCCCTCCTCTGCCCCTTCTGCTCTGTGCTTCTCTTTGCCTCTTCATGGTCTTAGGGCGCTTTTAGTGTTCACTTGGTTCTTGACTGTTTCTGCTAGGGGTGCATGGAGGACAGAGAGTTCTATATTTTTTTCTTTTTTAATTTTTGTTTTGAAGAAACAAACAACTCCCCCCTCAAATTTCCAAACAATATGATAGGGTAGCAGTGGTTAATACATTGCATATTAATATCTTTAAATTAGTTACTCAGAGTACAAGATATCAGCATTTAGTGGTCTGAACAGTATTAACCCAAACTTATCCTTTCAATGAACTGAGAGAAATTAGTAGTATAACTATTTTGTCTTTCATATATTCATATATATATATATATGTTTTTTTTTTCTTTTACCTTTTTTTTTTCCATTCTCATCAGTTTCTCTGTCCTTTTTAAAAAATTTTTTTGGTACAGGGTATCACTGGGCAGTTCAGACTCGTAGTGATCCTCCTGCCTCATCCTCCCTAGTGCAGGGATTACAGTCATGCGCCGCCGCGCCAGGTTCTGGACCCAGCACAGCATGTGGTCCAGGGGCTCAGACTCGGGGCCTTGCATTGGCCAAGCCCGCACTTAAGCCGCCGAGCTATCTCCCCAGGTCTCTCCTCCCTTTTGAGGTTTCTGTCCACTTTCCAGTATCTGTTGTACGTATTTGGATCTTCGTCTTCTCACGCTAGGGAGATAGTGTGATGTTTATACATTCGCATCTGGCTTATTTCGCTTAGGAATATGGATGGTCTCAACCATTTGCAACCATGCAAATGGTTGCATCCATTTACCTATCCAAGTCTCTAGTTTATTGTTCTTTATGGCTGAATACTACTCCATTGTATAAAAGTATTGTATCTTTATTATCAGTTGATGGGTATTTAGGTTGTTTCCAAGATTTAGCTGTTACAAATTGGGCTGCTATAAACATGGGTGCACATATATCACTGTTGTATGATGTTTTTAGTTCTCCTGGGAAGATGCCTAGATGGGGAATAACTGGGTCCCGTGGGACCTACAATCCTAGTTTTTGAGAGCTCTTCACACTGATTTCTGTGGTGGTTGGCACCAGTCTATACTGCCACTAGCAGTGGAGAAGGGTACCTTTTCCCCAAAGTTGCTCCAGCATTTGTTATTGGTTGATTTTCTGATAATAAAGCTGTTCTTTCCTGGATGAGACAGAATCTCATTGTTTTAATTTGCATCTCTCGAATGACGCTGGTGCTGAACCTTGTTTTATATATCTGCTGTTTGTGTTTCTTTAGCTGAAAGTGGGTATTGCTGTCTGACGCCCATTTTTGGATTGGGTCTTCAACTTGGGGAGGTCTGATTGTTCTGAGTTCTTTCTATGTTTTCAATGGTAATTATTTGTCTGAGGATCATCCACCAAACATTTTTTCCCACATTGTGGGTTGTCTCTTCAGTCTGTTCATGGTTTCTCTTGCTATACAAAAGTTTGAGAGTTCTAATTTCACACAAAAATAAGTGTACTGGCAGTAGTGGGGTAGGGGATGGGTGCTTTCTACAAAAATGCTTTCACATAGTAGGTTGGGCTCTGATAACAGCTTGGAGTTATTTTTAAATGTGTGCTGTCTGGGGTTCTGGGGATAGTAACTGGATGTTCAGGAAGACGCTTGCAGCCAGGGCATTCCACAGGTGAGCAGGTGGCGTCAGGACACAGGCCTCTGAGTGCCGCTGGGCTGGGCACCGCCCCCTGGGCCTCTGCTCTCTGAAGTGCAGTGAAGGACCTTGCATGGCACGATCTGTAGGGGCTTTTGGGGACATAGCCAGCAGGTCGAGGCTCTTCTAAAGGAGTAGATGTTGTATCTTTTTTCACTTTTGTGCACCTCACTTTTTGCCAGGAACAAGACCTCAAAGGTCCAGTTCGTGTCAGAGAGGAGCAGTGTGTTGGTGTTTCTGCCAGGTATGAATGTCATCATCCCGTAACCTAGGCTTATAAGGCTTTGCGTGGTACCAGTTAGGGAGCGTGGTGTTGCCCGTGTCTATTTTTTTTTTTTTAGACACTGATAATGTAAACAAATGTGACTTTCTGTTTGACTTCATGCTATAACTTTACATTACTAAACACATTGCTTACTGACAATGAAGAATTTAACTTTTCTTAGGTTTATAAAATTTTTTTTAAGTTAGTCGATTAAAGCACCTGCTTAGGCAGATGCAGGGACCAGGGTTCAAGCAGGGGCTAGGTTCGATCCCCAGCCGTGCCAGTCCCACCCCAGAGCGCCCTGAGACAGTGACTGAGACTGGGCGTGGTAGCACGAGCCTGTAATCCCAGCGCCTGGGAGCCTGTAATCCCAGCGCCTGGGAGCCTGTAATCCCAGCACCTGGGAGCCTGTAATCCCAGCGCCTGGGAGCCTGTAATCCCAGCGCCTGGGCGGCTGTAATCCCAGCGCCTGGGCGGCTGAAAACAGGAGGGTCACTACGAGTCCGATCTGTGTGGTGAGACCCTGCAGACCCTGTACTGAATACATTTAAAAAATGAATAAATAAAAAGATCTCTCTCTCTGTAGTTCAGGCTGGCCTTGAACCCGGTATGTAGCCCATGGTGTCCTTGAATTCAGCATTCCTGCCTCAGCCTCGTGAGTGCTGGGATTATAGATGTGTACTACCAAGCTCTGCTGAGAGTTTAACTTTTAAAAGGGAGTTTTACTACTTTCCAAATTTTCAATAAGACTTTGGCCCTTGTTAAACTTGCGTTCATTTATATGCTTATAAATGTGAGGTAATTGTTATTAGTCTGCGTTAAAGCTTACTTCTAACAGTAAAATATGTTGTTGTAATACTATGGGAGTAGTCAGGTTAATATTTGAGTTCATTTTTTTTTTATGTATCTGGTACAGGGTCTCGCTACAGCTTGGACTCACAGTGATCCTTGTGTCTCAGCCTCCCCAGTGCTGGGGTTACAGGCATGTGCCACCATGCCCAGTTTCGGTGCTCAGCGTGCCAGCCCAGGGGCAGGGCCGGCAGAGTTCATTTCTTATTGTTTAAAACATAGTCTGTTTTCCCTTTCTGAAAAGATTGATTTGAGTTAAACTACTTTTTCAAAACAATCTTTCAATCAAGGAGTATAGTTTGATGGAGCATGACAACAATTCAGACCTCTTCTGCAGTTGGAAGTTCGTGTGGCATAGATCAGCCTTTGTGCTTGTGGTGACGGAGGGCAGAAGGCACGCGCGGAGAGCAACTCATGCTGTCGGAAGGCAGCATGTGGGTTGAAGGTCTCCATCACCTTTTCCTGAGAATATGGTTCACTTCTGTGTGGGAAATAGCCGTTAGCCGACTGCGAGAGAGAGCTGCCTTTGCCTCCATAGATATTTATCAGGGGACTGCTACGTGCATAATGTTTCTGTCAGGAAAAAATGGCCAAAGCAGAGCTGTGTTGCTATTCTCACGTAGAAATACCTAAAATGAGAGATCAGACCTTTCCTCCACCTGATAGTGGGGACTGAACCCAGGGCCTTCATACTGAGCTATATCAGAGGGAGGGAGAGGTGGGGGAGGGCAGGGAGCGAGAGAGCGAGAGCGAGAGAGAGCGAGAGAGAGCGAGAGAGAGCGAGAGAGAGCGAGAGAGAGAGAGAGAGACAGACAGACAGACAGACAGAGAGACAGAGAGACAGAGACAGAGACAAAGAGACAGAGAGACAGAGACACAGAGACAGAGAGACAGACAGAGACAGACAGACAGAGACAGAGACAGACAGAGACAGAGAGACAGAGACAGAGACCGAGAGACAGAGAGAGAGACAGACAGACAGAGACAGAGAGAGACAGAGAGACAGAGACAGAGACAGAGACAGAGATACACACACACAGACGCTTAGGCAGTTTGCTATGCTGAGTGCCTGGAAGCTAATGGTCTCCACTTCTAGCACCTCTTATAATTGTAGAGGCCAAGTGTAGCTTGTATTAATTTCATGATGTCTCAGTAAATTTAGTATTAAAATATTAAAGTTTTTATTTTCCTGATGCATCCATTTTTGGCAGGTCATATATGTGCATGTATGTTGTTGTTCCCAGTGCCTTGTGTACACCAGCAAATAAACACCTTAGCACTGCATGACACTTCCAGTCCCAAATGCTGTTTCTTGTGCTCGCTTCAGCAGCACATATGCTGAAATTGGAGTGATACAGAGAGGGTTAGCATGGCCCCTGCGCAGGATGACACGCAAATTTGTGAAGCGTTCCATATTTTTATATAATATTTTGCTGAATTCACACACCTACAATATTTGGATGACAGTGTAATACCCTTCTCTGACAAAGCTAAACAAAAAAGGGGAATATAACTGAAGGACCATTTTGTATCTGTATATTCAAAATAGGATAGAGGTATAGCTACTTTCTCTTGGTTCAGTGAATAGAAAGATCAGTTCTAATAGTGTTTGTGGACAGGATATCATGCCTGCATCTTGTACTATGGGTAGCCACTGGGAAGACAACAGTATGCCATGTATTGATTGTTGGAACTGTCCTACTAATTGGTTTTGAAACTGTCTCATTGCTGTTTCTCAATAAAATTATGAGAGCAAAAAAAGAATACAAAAATAAAAAATAAAAAAAAATTATTAAAATTACATTTTTAACCAATGCAAAAAGAAACTATTTTTTGATTGGGAAGAATTTGAGTGCTCATGGTAAAAAATTTGGAAAATCTGAGGAAAGAAAAGAAATTAAAACTATTCATGCATCCAGCATCCATATGTAATCACTGTTGCAGAAAAAAAAACACTGGAGGAATAGGGTTTTTTGTATTTTTTATACTGCTTTTCTGGGGGAGGTTTGAGACAGGGTCTCACTCTGCAGTTCAGGTTGGCCTTGAACTGCTTTTGCAGCACAGGCTGGCCTTGAGCTCGTGGACCCTCTGCTGCCTTAGCCGCCAGAGTGACATGTATTCATGTGCCCCAGGCCCAGCAACTTCTTCTCTATTTTGAAGTGACTAGTTAATTTCATTGCACAATTCTACTTGTAATTCTGATATACTTAGGCAAAAAAGGATAAAAAGTCAAATAAAATGAATTGATGGAACATTCTTGGAAAAACATGTCATTTTAACTTAAAAGTTGGTTTTTAACAATAAATACAAATCTTTTTCCTCCTCTTTCTTTTCTCCCCATAGGTCTAGGTGAAATCAACTACATGCATGGACTTCTCACAAACATGGTTCACAAAAGGTGTGCTTAAAATGATGCAGCCTCATTGTTGCTTTAGACTGTTACACTGTTTTATGTAATGAAGTTGCTCTTTTATAGTTCATGTATCATGTGATATTTTATTTTAGTAATTTGTTTCTTAGGTTACAGGTGTATCCACTCCATTCCAGTGTGACTTTAGAAGAACAAAATAATGTATTTTTAAGTCCAGTCCCTGGGTACAGAAAGGTAGGAACAGAAAGATTTGTACTAATAGTTTTTAGACAAGATACCGTGTCTACATCTTAGACTATGAATAACTACTATGAAGACAACAATATGCAATGTATTAATTATTGTAGCTGTCCTACTAACCTGTTTTGAAGCTGTCTCATTACTATTTCTTTTTCAATAAAATTAATTAAAAAAAAGAAAGGTAGGAAGGCTGGCAAGACCAGTGCTAAGCATTTTCTTGGAGACTGCCTAGGGAGGCTGCTGCTCTCTCAGTGTGGTCGTGACTTGTGGCATCTTACCAGGTGCCCACTGGCGAACTGGCTCCCTTCCCTGTTCTGTTTTGTAAGTTGGTTTGCTAAACGTTAAGATTTGTTTTATTTTCTTAACTCACGGTGTTGGTGTTTTCATTGTTGTTGAGACAGTGTCTTGCTATGTGCTACAGGCTGGCCTTGAACTCTGTTATGGAGCTGAGAAACTGAATTAATTTTCAAGATTGAATTTTTTGTTTCCCTTTAACTCTGCCTAATGATGTCCAGAACAGATGGGTGATGTCCGCTTCTTTTCTTTGCTATTTGTCAGATCATTCTGTCCACCAACATTGCAGAGAGCTCTGTCACTGTTCCAGATGTGAAGTATGGTAAGGTCCCTCTTAGCAGCTGCTTCCTTGTGCCCTCCTTCCCAGCCCTTGTGCTGGAGGAGAAAGTGGAGAATCCTGTCAGTTCTGTGCCAGCTCCTCTGAGCAGCCACTTCGCTTGTGGCAGGGCTGATCTCAGCAGGTCCCAGCCTTTCCAGGGGCCTTGTAGCTTGAGCTGCCTGTGGCTGGAGGGAGGCAGGTGTCAGGAGAGCCCGGGCATCTCTGCTCCTGAGGGTGGTTTCAGAGTGCCCAGCAGTGCTCCATCTTGTCCCCCGCATGTGTGTGTCCTGAGAACCGAGACCGCACCACTGATGGGTCTCCTACATTCGCTCACCTTGTTGAAGAGCCACACCCGTGGCTAGGAGTGCAGGGTGGAGTAGGATGAAGTCCCTGTCCTCATGGTGATGACATTCTGGTGGGAGAGACAGATCACAGGGGGTAACAAATGCAGTTTGGGGCAGAGAGAAATATTAAATAGGCAAAGTAATCAGGAAAAGGGTCAGTGTTATAGAGGAAAATGCTTTTTTACGTGGAGTGATGTGGAAATACAGCTTTGAGGAAGTGACATTTGAACAGAAACCTGAATTGAAGTGAGCTGGGTGCTGGGTGCAGTGGCATGCACTCGTATGCTGCTGTTGAGGAGGCTGAGGCAAGAGAATCCCAAGTTCAAGGTCAGCTTGGGCAACTTTATGCAACTGCCCAAGTGCTCAGCAGTGGCGCTCTTGCCTACCTTGTGTGAGGCCTAGGCTGCATCCCCAGTACTGAAGGGGAAAGGAAAGGACCAGGGGTTGCCACAGCAGAAGGGCAAGGAGCTGAACTGGAGAGGGTGAGCTGGCAGGCGATGGTTCTGCCCTGTGATGAGGAAATCGCGGAGACAAAACAGTCAGGTCATTGTTCTTGTGACACCTCCAGGGACACATGTTGGGAAGACAAGGGCAAGAGGTGAGATCAGATATGTAGCAAGTGCGTTGATGGTCAGTGCACCCAGAGGGAACTGGGGGGAAGAGCGCGCGCGGGGTGCTGGGAAGTGCTGCGACATGAGAGCTGTGGTGGCTGGGAAGGCTGCTTCCAGGAGAGTGTGGAGCCAGGCGCTCCAGGAGGGTAGGGAAGGAGGGCTGTGGGTCTCTGAGGAGGAGCAGCAGAGCAGACAAGACTGCCCATAGAGAGGATGCTTGGTACCCTCAGGCAGCAAGGAGGTGAGCGCAAGCCCGGAGGAAAGGGCTAAGAGTCCTGAGTGTGAGGGCCCACGAGGCCCTGTGCCAGAGGGTCATCCTGAACCATCAGCTTTGAGAATAGCTGTCACATAGCTTACAGATTAGTTACAGCACTGTGCTGGGGATAGACTGCAGTGAAGCCAAGGAGAGAAAGAGAAGAGAGAGGATCTAACAACCTGGGAGAGCACACATGGTAACTTAGGGTAGGGCTCTGGCCATGGTGGCCCTCAGTGGAGAGAGGCAGGGAGAGTATGAGAAGCTCCAGCAGCAGCAGGCAGGCAGGCAGGCGGGCAGGCGGGCGGGCAGCGGGCTGCTGGGGGGAGGGGCCAATTGTGTCTTCCCCTTGGCACCTCGAGGGCTGTACAGGCTGCATGGCTAGGCAGAGAGTTGCCAGGTCTAGGGCAAAGTGGAGCAGCAGGGACACTGAGCGACATGCACCATGTCCTTGAACTTGTACTTGGGTGGCCAGGAGGGAAGCCAGGCAGGACTGAGGGGCAAGTGACAAAGGACATCTTTAGGTCCTAGGAGGATGGCTAGGATGGAGTCTCAAGAGCGGGCTGAGGGAGGAGGGACTCTGGCTCCCAGAGGGGGCTGGGAGTGCCAATAGGAAGATGCAGAGGGCAGGGCTGTTGGAGTGGAGGCTTTCAGGCCTTGCCAGCCGAAAGTCGCGGGTGCTGTTACGTGGGTTGTAAACTTTCTGAAAATCAGGTGAGGACTCGTGTTGGGAAAGGACCAGGAGCTGGGGGCTGGGGCGGGCATCACGAGTGCAGTCCGAGGAGGGCAGTCACAGGGAGGAGTCACGAGGGTGGAGGGCAGAGAGCTGTGTGGTAGGGGACAGCCACCACCTGTGCCTGGCAGTGGATGAGCCTGGAGCACAGAGACCAGTGCATTGTCCTACCCACATGCACACAGACCCAGGCAGAGAGAGACAGGCACAGACCCAGAATGTGATCCTAGGGCATGAGCTGCTTTTCTCTACTTCTGCTGTAATATTGTTTGGATGGCCCTCAGTGTTGGGCTTGGGCCTCCCGGTAGGCCCTTCTTAGGATACGTTGGGCATTAGGGGTTAGGTATTCTTTGTGCCCAGAGACTCCCAGTGTTCAGAAGGAAAGAAACTGGGCTCCCTGTTCTGGGCAGTAGTGACCTGAGCACATTCGCAGAGGTCCCTGCGCACACGCCAGCTCCCATGTCTGTTTTATCAGTGTGCTTTGTAATTTATTATGTGATAGTCTTGTGTGGTGTTAGCATGGTGTTTACATTCCTTTTTCTCAAATGACAGTTATAGATTTTTGTCTGACTAGAACCCTGGTTTGTGATGAAGACACCAATTATCAGAGTCTGCGACTGAGTTGGGCCTCTAAGACCAGCTGTAACCAGAGGAAAGGTAAGGCGCTGTGGTGAAGCCTGGAGGACTTGCAGGGTCACGGGCACAGGCAGTGTCTTAAGAACTTCGGCTTTTCACTTTTTTTACTCTAACTCGTGTACGTTATTAGGACCAGTTTTAAATTTCAACTTCGACATCTCATGTAGTCGGAGGGTCTGTAACCCAGTGTATTATGTGGCATCTTTGGGTATAAGGGACAGATACGGTATTGTTGTGGTGAACATAGGTATTTAATTGAGCCACCTGTGGAGGCTGGATGCAGAGACAAGCAAGCTCATTAGGTGGTGGTGGACATCTAGCACATGACCCAGCCCTGACCTTGAAGAGCAGGAGGGGCGAGTGGTGTGGCTTTAGTTCCGGATCTCACTCTGGGCCTAGGGGGTTGATTAATTTTTCTGAATATGATTTAGCGCAGCCACAGAAATACTCCTACAGAGCATAGTAGGCTTAGCCTGTGACAAAGGGACAAAGGTGTTTGACATTCTGTGTAGGGAACAAGTGGTCTTGTGACAAAGTGTGGGGTGATAATGGGTTAGGTAGCTATGATAGCATTTACAAGAAACAAACTTAAGGGAACAGAAACTTAAGCTTTAGAATGGCGCTCGAGTACAAAATGGCACAGATTCGGTTTCCAGTGCCGTGTCACTCTCTTCTCAACACTGTTGTTTTTCAGTGAGATTTAGACTTTTTGGTGCATAGATAGGATGCTGAATGCATCTCTTCCTTACGTTTCGACAAGCCTTCTTCTGACTCCTGAGCTTTGATCATTCTAGGGTATTGCTCCTAAATGGGTTCTGCAGGGGCTCAGCACATGCTTGGCCGTCTGCACATACTGCTCGGCCGAGATGAGCTGTGGGGCTGATGGGGGCAGGATGCTTAGGCCATGGTGGAAGCACGTTCCTAGTGGGCTAGCACACTGCTCTGCGGTGTCCCTGTGTCTGGGGATGTGCTCAGCAGGGGCCTTCCGGAGGGCGGGCAGGTGAAAGACCGTTCCAGGTGTATCTGTTGGGAGTCAGAATGAAGCAGCACGTGGAAGTGCTCACAGTGCAGCAGGCTGTCTCCCCAGTGGGTCGCTCCCTCGCTCAGCCCTCGTGACCAGCAAGAGATGAGCATGCAGTGTCTTATTAGGTCTGCCTTCTAAGGGCAGGGTAACAGTCACCGTCCAGGGGTCGTAGACCAGTGGGACTGGGATTTGGCCCAGAAATCCTCTTCAGTCCTCATTCTTGACCACTTTGTTACATCACCTCTCCTGAGCAGCCTGGTCCAGAGCCGGCGGGTGCTACCCTGTCCTGGCCACAGAGAGCATCTTGTCGCTGCAAGGGGCCCAAGCTGGGTGTTGCTGCACAGATGAAAAGAGAACACTAAGAGACGGTCATCCCACCTTGTCTAATCTGCTGCCCTGGCCCCGACCCCAGGAAAGCTATGCTTAGGAACAACAACTAGGAATAAATGTGCCAAAACATTAGAAGTACTGTGATGGGCTCAGTTTTGAGATTGTACTTTTCTACCTTTTTGTATGCTTAAAATTTTTATAGTTAGAAAATATTTGTTGCACAATTTTTTCTTTATAGAAAGTGGCAGAAACAGCATAGAGTCTCTTGAGTTCTTCCTCTGCTTCCTCCAGCTCTGTTCTGAAGTGTCTTAAGTATGTGTAGCGCAGCACACTGGACCGAGGCCCCAGGTAGCAGCACACACCCTGCGAGTATAGGGCTGTGTGATCTGGACAGAACTCACGCACTGCTGGGATGGGCCTGCCTCGAAGGGCTCCTGTGCTTCTCTGTACCTCTGGATTCTGCAGGTTTCTCCTGTGCCCCCCTCTTTTTTTTTCTTATACTGAGGATTGAACCCAGGGCTTTGTGCATGCTAGGCTAGTGCTCTACCACTGAGCAACCTACCCAACCATTTAGAAAGTATTTTAAAATTTTGAAACAGGGTCTTGCTGAGTTGCCCAGGTTAGCCTTGAATTTGTAACCGTCTCCCTCACGTAGCTGTGATTCCAGGTGCGCATTACTGTGCCTAGCTCTCTTGTGTTTCTTATCATAATTTCATAGTTTTCACTTAGATCCAGGCCCTGTTTTGTATCAGTTTCCACTTCAGTAAGTTGTATAATGTGGCGTGAGCTTTAGATCAAGATTTGTTTCTCGGCTTGTGGATGTCTAGTGGCTCTGCACCACAGAACCTCCCTTCTGTTACATCCGTGTGAGATGGTTGGTGAGGTGTGGCCACTGCAGGGGACACAGGAGGGACTCAGAAAATTAAGTTCACCGCACATGGACGCAGAGACAGAGAGTGCTGCAACCATGTGAGGTCACAGGGACGAGAGTCTCTGCAGTTGGGCCAGGAAGGGCGCGGCGGGGAGGTGCAGACGGCCTTCAGTGGGGCTCCTGGGGAGGAGGCGAGGCACGGAGGGCAGACAGCTCAGCCTTGGCTAGTGCTGGCTGTAGGTCTGAAATTCCCGCTTAGGTCTCAGAGGTCGGGCTTGGGGGGGGGGGCGACTGGGCCATACAGCACCGTGCTCATCGTGGGTCGGTGCACTGATCAGTCGCTGGCTAAGTGTGCCGTTAGTGAGCGGGCCCGGTTGGAGGCGCTGTGGTGACACCTTCGGAAATGTCTCCGCCTGCCTCCACCATGCTCCTCCCTTTTTTGTCTCTGCTTCCTGGCTATTGTGAGGCGAGCAACTTTCCTGTGCTTGGGAGCCCACCAGCCGTGGCTGAATCCTTGGGGATGTGAGCCCACGTGAACTTTCCTTCCTTTAAGTTGCAGGTGTAGGGTGCTTTGTCCCAGTGATGGGCACTGACTAATACAGGGAAGTGTTGTGACAGTGGAGCTGTCGCTGACTGTGTGGTTTAGAGCCTTTGCAGCTGGATTGTGGGAAGAGGTTAGACAGGTTTGAAGATGACACCAAGAGTGCCTTAAACACTGTAAGCGGAGGGAGCACAGATGGTTGGAAGACTCTGGCCGGAGCTCAGACCAGATGCTGATAGGAGTGTGGCCAGTAGAGGCCAGCGTCTTGGCTTTCAGCTGGGAACAAGAACTCTGTTTGGAAACTGGACTAGAGGTCATGGGTGTATCATTTTGGCAAAGAATTTATCCACATATGTTTTGTCTGTTTCCTGAGGTTTTGTGTGAGGCTGAATTTTAAAATGGAAGACTACTTGGATTGCCAGAGGGGATCTCAGAGCATCCGTGTTCAGGCCGTGGCATGAGTATTGCCGGTACTTTAAGTCATATTTTCAGTGAGAATTTAGACCAAATAGCCAAAAAACGTAAAATTCTTGCACTTACGCCAGAAAGGGCTTGCAGAGTGGGGCCATAGAAAGTATGGTTGCTAAAAAGATTGGCATTAGGCCTTGGGTATAGCTGAGTGGCACAATGCCTGCCTGGGGAGAAGACTGCCTAAAGGTATCTCAGGATTGGCCAGACCTCACGCATCAGAGGCTTAAGGCTGTGAGAGGACAGACTGCTTTGAAAGACTTCACTTGGAGAAGAGAGCCATAGGGGCCTGCCGTCCGGAGCCTCGTGAGATGAATGCACGTTCCACCAAGTAGGCGCACAGAGGTCACGTGGTGGTCCCAGGGGCCAGGCTCCTCCTGCCGAGCTGGAGGCACACCTGGACGGCATCCATGTGGCACTCATTTTTCAGGCTTGCAGCACACACAAGTTATGGGGCCATGGAGGCCTCCACCTAGATCTCAGAGGGCAGCCTGGGAGGCCAGGCAGCACGTGAAACTGGAAGAATGAAAGTGAAGGTGTGGTGGAGATGCTCACAGCTAAGAGCTGGCCACCATCCTCAGAGGAGACTTTGGTGCTGGACTACGCAGCGGTGCTGGCATTGTTAAGGTTTTGGCAGCTCGGGTGACCGTAGCATCTTGCATAATGTGGTAGAAATGAGCCTTTTGAGGTCGAATGTATGGTTTGGGTCTAAACTGTCTCCTGAAGTCTCCTGTGTTCAGAGGTGAAGCTTCTGCAAGGTGTCTGGATTGGAGGGTACTGTGGGGGGAGTATTCCATTGAGAGTTGTGGCTGAATGTGCTCCCGGAAGTGGGGCCTGACTGGAAGAGGTGGGTCCCTGGGCTGTGACTTGAAGTGCATAGTTTGTTCTGGGTTCTTCTGTTCTCCCTGCGCTTCCTGGCTGCCGTGAGGTGGGCAGCTCTCTTCTGCCATGGTATTTTCATCTGGAGCCATCCAAACATAGCCTGAATCCCAGAGCCCTGAGCACATTAAACCTCTCCTCCCTTACGTTGAGCCCTGAGCCTAGTCAAAGCACTTGTTAAGTTACGATGTTGGTATTTTGTGACAGATGCAGCTAGTTTGAATGCTTGGTGGGATTTGGACTGTGACAGTGATTTCTGGTTGCCTGATACCTGGGATGATTGTGATCGTGATTTCTGGTTGCCTGATACCTGGGCTGATTCCCTCAGAGAGGGATGGCCTCCTGGCTGTTGGTCTTTTGTGCTGCAACTTCGCTGAGTTTATTAAGTAGTTCTAGGAGGGTTTTGTTTTCATAGGTATCTTGAGATCTTCTACTTAGACTTACTTTTAACGAGGTTCTGAGTTTGATCCCTGGTACCACCAAAAAAAAAAAAAAAATTAAAATTAAACCTATTTTATTTGCAGATAGGGCTGGGAGGGCGTGGTGAAGATGGCCAGCACCCTCAGTGTTTCCCAACCTCTCAGTGGGGAAGGAGGACCCCCTGGACCACCCTATTTTTGAAAACTATGATTATTGAGCCCCAGGCCAATTCCTTAGAACATTTCATTTGGTTTGTGGCCTGGGCTCTGTGGGCTGAGCTTGGTTCTGAGTTTTTGCAAGTGCATTTGCAGTCAGGTGGTGTGAAGGCCATTCTGAAGGACACTTGCAGAGATTTTAGGGCAGACAGATGGGAGCAGCTCCTTCTGTCTCTGACCAGTACACATGGATCATCTCCTCTGATGAACTGTAACTTCTCTCATCAGCTGCATGCCTTCTATTTATTACTAGGAGAAACCTGTGTATTCACAGGAAATGTGGTTATTTAGAATATTGTGGCTTCTATTGCATATGAGGTCAAGGTTATTTTTTTTCTTCCTCCCTTCACTCCTTTTTGCTCTCCCTTCCTCCTTTTATCCCTTCTCCTTTATGTGTTCTTTTTAAAAAAATCTTATTTATTTATTTATTTGGTAAAGGGTCCCGTAGGCAGCTCAGACCCGTAGTGATCCTCCTGTCTCAGCCTTTCCAGCACTGGGATTACAGGTGTGTGCCGCCATGTGTGCCACCATCTGGCCCAGCAGCATGGCAGCACGGCATGCAGTACCAGGGATCAAACTTGGGTCCTTGCACTTGCCAGGCGGGCGCTTAGATGTTGAGCTATCTCTCCAGTCCTTGTGTTCCTTTTTTTATGGTATTGGGGATTGAATCTAGGACCTTCATACTAGTTTTTGAGAAAGGATCTTGTTAAGTTGCTTAGACTGTCTTGAGTTTGTCATCCTCTTGCTTTAGCCTCTCAAGTGTTGGGATTATAAGCCTATGCTGCAATATTTGGGTCATTTGTTTTGTTTTTGGTTTTGTTTTATGTTTTTAAAAAAATATGCGTTGGACCTGGGCATGGTGGCACACACCTGTAATCCCAGCACTCTGGAGGGTGAGGCAGGATGATGGCTGTTAGATATCAGTATCAGCGACACAGTGAGTTCAACGCTAGCCTGAACTGCATAGCAAGACCCTGTCACAAACAAACAAACAAATATATATTGGATTTTATAATGTTGATCACTGAATAGAAGTCAGAACTTAATCTGATTTTAGCTTATTCTTTTCAGGATACTCTTGCTTGAATAAATTTAGAATAACTTACTAATACGTATGCTAGCTTATTCTGAAGTTATGAGTGACTGGAAGTGACTGGTTCTGGTAGAAGATAATGCTGCTCTCCTACTTCCTGTTCAACAGCTGGTCGTACTGCTCCTGCACGCTCAGGTGACTCGTGCCGAGTGGTGCTGAGCGTCTCTCATTCGCAGGCCGTGCTGGACGAGTGTCCAAAGGCTACTGTTACCGACTGGTGCCTCGGGACTTCTGGGAGAAGTGCATCCCTGATTATGTCGTGCCAGAGATGTTGGTAATGTGCTTTGGTTGTCAAGGTTAATTTTTTCATGGATAAGCAACTTACTGAATAGTTTAATGTAATGTTAATGGCACATAGCTTTGACACCCCCCCCCAAGAGCCCCAACAAGGCTTGTCTGTAGTCAACGCTCTGGCTCACTGCATAGTGTAATACCAGCCCTTCCCCCAGCTTTCTCTCTCTCTCTCTCTCTCTCTCTCTCTCTCTCTCTCTCTCTCCCCTCTCCCTCTCTCTGTCCATCTCCCTCTCCCTCTCCCTTTCCCTCTCCCTCTCTCTCTCCATCTCTCTCTCTCTCTCCATCTCCCTCTCTCCCCCTCTCCCTCTCCCTCTCCCTCTCCCTCTGCCTCTCTCTCTCCATCTCCCTGGCCCCCCTCTCTCTTTTTTCATGAGCAGAATGTATTTATTGAGGGAAAGAAAGCTCCTGTCTAAGACAGGGACAGGAGGGGGGCCCGAACGGGTTGTCCCCCACCAGCTTACTTTCTTAATGAGAATAATATTCTTTGGTAGCTGTTGACTTTAAGAGAGCATTATCCCGAAGTGGTGTTGTTTTCATTTACCTTTTGTGATGAATATTGTGGAGTAGCTTTTTTCTTTCTTCTTTCTCTCCTTGTGTTTTCCTGTCTTTCTCATTCTTGCCCTTTTCCCATGTATTTTTTTATTTCACTTCTTTGTCTTTGCCGTTCTCCATCACTCTCACTTTTCTTTTCTCGATCAGTTTTCTTGCTTCTCTTTTCCTTCTCGCGGTCTGGAGCGCCATTCCTGTGAACAGGTTAACTTCTCTTTAACTGGTTTTGTTCTCTTCAGCGCTGTCCGTTAGGAAGCACAGTCCTGAAAGTGAAGTTACTTGACATGGGGGAGCCGAGAGCCCTGCTGGCAACTGCGCTTTCCCCGCCTGGTCTGAGCGACATCGAGCGCACCGTCCTTCTGCTGAAGGAGGTAGGGCGGCCTGGGACACAGTGATGGTGGGAAAGCCAGGACTTTTTAGTAGGGGAAACCTACATTTCGTAATCTTCGAGGCATTTTGGGAGCTGTAAGTGGTCAGAATGTGCTTGGAAAAGCCTCTGCTAATAATCATGCGAGCATATGTACAGAATGGCTGATATTAGTGTACTAATAATTTCCATCAGTTTTTTTTTTTTTTTTTGAAAATAGCAGTTCACGTGTAGAATTTTCACTTTGACTGACTCTGTATGCTGCTATCTGTGATCTCAGCAGCTGCATCGAGGACAGCGTGTGTAATACAAAAGCACAGTTGAGTGCCTCCCACCCTGCCTTCTAAATGTGAGCTGCTTCTCATGTCTTATCAGTTGTAATTATGCTCTCTTTAAAATACATTCTGGGGGCTGGTGAGATGGCTCAGTGGTCTAAAGCACCTACTTAGAACAAGCTTAGCAAAGCACAGGGACCGCGGTTCAATCCCCCAGCACCACATGC